ACCTCGAAGCGGATTTTCCACATCGAGTTAAATTTTTGCACCCGGGGTGGGTCGTAACCCGAAAAGTTCGTTAGTAGAGGCGTTCATATCCCGAGGTACCACTGTATAAAGAGATCTAGTTCAACTCAGAGTTCCCTGTTTTTAGTTTTTGTAAACACAATGTCCATCCAAGCTAGAACACCTAAAAGGTATGTGTCTATAATAATCAATCAATCTATAATTGCTTTGACCACAAATCTTTATTTAAACATTTACCTAATGCAACCAAAATTAGGACAGATTTTAGAAGAAAGATATTCCTAACCCATAGAGTTTTAAAAATATTAAGAATCTCCATGTTGAACTATGCGTGAAAAAGAAATAAATCAAATGTAAGGCCAGTGTTTTTCAAAATTTTTGCAATTGTGACCACTAAATAAATGTGTGGAATGTGTGGGGGACAATCCAATTAAACAAATGCCTCCCTCTCCCCCAACACACATGTTCATATTCAAGATCTTGTTTTGGTAAATAAAATCATACACAAAGTTGCATTTGTGTATGCCTTCCCATCCCCACTGTTTTAAAGGCTCTCCTAAACTAATTTTTGTAGCAAAAAATTGATCCAAAACTAAGATTTAACTGAATTATTTTATGTAGCCCAAGCCATAATAACAACACATTGCCCAAACTTGCTGTTCACAACTGTTATTCAGTAGAAATCTCCAAGAACTAAGTAGCTAGGAATGAAGGGATCCCCAGCCCGATATTTAGGGACATGTACTTGTATTTTGTGGTTGCTTGTGCACAGTTCCACTTAGCATAGCCCAAGTTGACTCAAGGGCAGAAAACTGTACTTGAGATCTGTTTGCTATAATAGGTTTTCTGGAGTTCAGTATTCACGTTGCTTCCTGTATTTGTTTGCTTCAATAAACCACCTTTCAACCACTGATACATTTTCACAAACCAACTGTCTGGTGGTGAATAAGGGGAAGTGGGGACTGAAATGGCAAGGGGACTAATGCAAGTCCACAGCCCATGTTGAGAATAAATGACACAGAGCTACACACCATTGGTAACTGCTCCCTCCATTCCAGATTTTGTGTCCCATAAACAATACATCTCCATACAACTACCAAACTCTACTGCCTCCTCTGTACATGAAATGTGTGCATGTGTGTAGGTATATACGGGAGAGTGTTTTTTCCCCCCTGTAGTTTTATTCACATGCTTCTTAATCTGTTTTAAACCTCTCAATTAACTGAGATATTAGAGGATGGTGAACTATATGTGTATTAAAACTCAACAGATAATCAATTACATTAAAAAGTATTTTTAATTTGTGTTATCTTTGTCCTCATCTCTTTCTGTATGCCACCATTCCCTTCTACACTGTGGCCATTCAAGGGCTGGTACAGCCTTCAGCTTAATGCCAGTAGTAGAGTTCTGCTATAAACCATTATATTGCCTTTAGAATGATAGTTAAAAAGATAAAGAGAGACCATTCAAATGAATTCTTGTGGATCCATGTGTGTCCACATAAAATATACCTATATTTTCCAGAGAACATACAGCAGCTGCATAGGGTACCTGGCTCAATCCCAGGAAAAGGCATGGGTCCTTTAAAGTGCTCCATAAATGCCCATGCGCACATTTTATCTATCTATCTATCTATCTATCTATCTATCTATCTATCTATCTATCTATCTATCTATCATATTTATATAGCTGCCCATCTCACATAAAAGTGACTCTGGGCAGCATACAACAATTAAAAAGAATAAATACCTGAAAAACAATTACAAGTAAAAAACTATAAAACCACACAAAACAGGAGGGGATAATATTAATAAGGGAGCCAACACAAAATCTCCCCAGTCCCCTGGGACCCCCAGGCCTGATCACATAGCCAGGTCTCGAGGGACTTGCACAATGTTGAGAGGGATGGAGCTAATCTCACTTCCGGGGGGAGGAGATTCCACAAGGTGGGCGCCATGGCACAGAAGGCCCGCCTCCTGGGACCTGCCAAATGTAATTCCCTGGCAGACGGGATCTATAGCATGCCTTCTCTGCCAGACCTGATAGGATGGGCAGATGCAATCAGGGAGAGGCGGTCCCTCAGATAATCCGGCCCCATGCCATGAAGGAAGCAAACTGGCAACCAGTGCAGCTCGTGGAACAGAAGTGTAATATGTATCACACATAATGGCCTGCACTGCTGCATTTTGCACTAGCTGAAGCTTCCGGATACTCTTCAAGGGCAGCCCCATGTAGAGCACATTACAGAAATCCAAACGGGAGGTGACCAGGGCATGAGTGACAGTGAGTAGGTCCCGCTGATCTAGGAATGGGCGCAACTGGTGCACAACACGAAGCTGTGCAAAGGCCCTCCCAGCCACGATTGCCCTTCAAATCTGGATCGCTGCATAGCCAAATAAATGAAGTCTTTATTTCTTTGCAGATTATGAAAGCTAAACAGTTGTGCCTAGTAATTCAGCCTACCAAATAACAAACTAAGTAAAATAAATAAATAAGCAAAAAACTCAGATAAAAGTACCTTCTGAGGTTGGAATCATCTGCCAGCTGATCTGCTTCCGCCTGTGTCAATGCTATATTTCGGTTTGTATCCATTAAGATTTCAAAATCTGAAAAAGTCAGAATATTATGTTTTTATAAAGAAATTGCTATAATATCACTGTATTTCTCAAAATAGCGTGAGGGAAAAAATTGTATTTCAATAACATATATTACATGCAAATTATTAAAGTTACCATTTTTTACCAACACCAATAAAAGGAAACACAACTCTGTGGTTGTGGAGCAAAAAGAATCACATCTGATTATAAACAACTGAGGTTGGAAAAAGTCCTTCTCAACTAAATACAGTTTCAGACACAGCAGTGAATTCTCCTGCACATTAAAGCAGTGAGCAGATGTAAGCATGGAAGGTAAATACCATCAGTGAGAAAGGCTGGGTGATAAAAACGGTCTTTTCCTTAAATGAAAACCTTAAATCAAATTTTTAAAACTGTGAATGAATGTCTCTTAACATTTATTTTAAAATCTACATGTAAGCATGTTAGCCCCTTTAACTGCTACATATTTATATCTGTATCTCCCAGATGAGTTCATTTTAGAGAAAAGTTTTAAAAAATGGATGTGCTGAAGCCAGCTTCTTGCCTTGTACTCTGGATCTAATCTAATCTAATCTAATCCATCTAATCTAATCTAATTGGATGTTTCCTCAGCAATATCCACCTTTGTTTCAACTTGTCGCTCGTAGGAATGATATATTTCTAACATTATGTTTATTTGCTACTTTGTTTTTGGGAGAGTGGGGCTAGGTCAAAGCAATAACAATAGCATTAAAAACAACAACAGCTCAAAGCTAGCATCACCTAAATCAGGATTAAAAGCGAATCCCATGCAATGCTCTTAATCCCAAATGCTCTCTTACAAGGTTTTAGTTGCTCGGCCAAATGAAAGGTGCACGGAGGCTTTAAGGATTTCCAGGGCCCACGCATTCTACAGGGAAGGGGCAACTATAGAACAAGGCCTGCTTCTGGGTTCATCTCCCCTTAACGTGAGGAAGAGGAGCCACCCAGAAGATCCCCTCACAGATACAGGGCAGTAGGCAAGTAACCTCTACTTTAGCTATATCAGTTTATATATATTCCATTTTTATATGGCTGCCTATCTCTACAGTGACCATATTTTCTTGGAAAAAATAAAGGACAAACCTGAAAAAAGGGGCAAATCTGAAAGAGATTCATAAGGATAAAAATATGTTAATTGTTTATGTGTATAACTTTGCTTAACAAAGGAAAAGTCAAGAGCAAAACCAAGAAAAACTTTACAAAAATGCATGTTCTAATAAAAAATATCTAAAATCAAACAGTATACAGTACTGTGCAAAAGTTTTAGGCAGCTAAATGGCTGCCTAAACAGCTAGGTCTTTGAGGCTTTCCAAAAGATGAGCATGGTTGGGACCAGCTGAACCTTGGGCGGTGCCAGAGGAGAAGAGCAGCTATGGAGAAGGCAGGCTTCCTGGGTCCCACTAGACAACAATCCCTAATTGACGGGGCCCAGAAAATGTCCCTCCTGCCTGACCCCAAAGAATGGGTTGAAACAATAGGAGAAAGGCCATGTAGAGTTTTATAGGTGACAACCAAGACCTTGAATTACACCTGGAAGCAAACTGGGAGCCTGTGCAATTCACAGAGCAAAGGTGTAACATGAGTATTTTGAAACACATCCATAATTGCCTGCAGTGGTGCATTCTGGACCAATTGAAGCTTCTGGATGTTCCAAATTGTACCAAGGAAAAATCAGTAATAAGGCAGAGCCTGAAGTATTGGTGTTAGCAGCTTTCATCCACCAACGTATGGGCTGCCACATTTTGCAACAATTGAAGTTTCCCAATTTCCAAGGGCACCTCCATGTACAGCACATGCAGAAGAAGCAATGAACCAGGATTTTATCAGAATCTTTGTTTTCTAGAAGAGCCCCTCAGAAAGCCTTTTGCAGAAAAGCCAGGTTTTTTGTTTATTGTAAAGGCACTACTTTAAAGATGACATTATAGGTTTAATATGCTATTGTTTTTTCTGATATTTTGTATTGTGTTTATAGTTTTAGCTACCAGAATGGTTTGTGGTGAGAAAGGCGGCCATATAAATCAGATCAATCAATAAATGATCAAAGCAGCAATGGGTAAACTTCTATTCAGGCTTCAAAGCAAATGCTCCATATCAGACAATAATAGCACTGTGACATTTCATACCTAAGAAGTAACCTTGAGTCAACTGTACATTTGATTGAAACAAATTTTCATTTCCCAAAAGCGTAAGCAGGGCTTCCTGTATTTCAGGACGACTAAAATCAAGTATTTTCTTTGGTAATGATGACAATTTCTCTGACAAAATTGTTGACTTCATGGAAGAATTTCCATCAAGTTCTAGACAAATATTTATTGTAGACAACATGTTTTGATTTTGTCCTATATAAAAGAAACAAAAGGAAAAAATAAAGAAAAAGCAACTGTTAACAAATGAATACTTTATCTGCTTGAATAAAGACATGCATGCTTTGCCTAAGAAAGGAAACTTCAGGAGGAGCTGGGTTTTATATTTTCAAATATGGGAATGAATTACTGGAGATTTGTTCAATTCTGAAAGCCCACGGGAAAGCTCTCAACTGCATCCTGAATCAATTTTAGCTCATGGTCAAATTTAATTTGATGTTTGCAAACTCCTCCCACATTCATCCTAGAAATAAGATCAATATACCTTGGTAAGTACCTTCAGCAGGAGCCTTCCCCCCCCCCATCTGTTTTAACTTTGTTTTTATTGCTTCAATGCAACGAAAGAAAACAAAGTATAAAAGTACTGTACAAAAAAGAGGGAAAAAGTGGGGGAAGTAATAAATGAAATATAACATTTGTTTCCTCTATTTACACCTTCTTAAATTTTAAATTAAACCTTGACCACACAGAATCATATAGTTTGTTCCTTCCACTGTGCTGATAAAGAGCCAATTCAATGGCTCACAGCATAGCTCTTTATAATCTGGTGTACAAGTGTCTTTCTAAGAACATAACAATCTTTTTCACAACAATTCAAGCATAATATATGCAAAGTTCTTCATAAATAGACCCATTCCAAATATTGGGGATGTAATTTAACAGCACATTAACATCTATAAATACAATTTCCCTTACCAAAATTCTATTGACCATATTGACAATCTCCAGCCAATGGCCAAAACATGTGTTACTATACCTTCACATTTATGACATCACTAGGATAGAAAGATATATAATTAGCCTTTTAAAAGCAGTCCCTGAGGAGTCCAATAGATATCAAAAATATTTTGATGAGTTATTCATCTAAAAACCTAAGGAAAATATTTAACACTTTTAAAAAACCTGAAGCCATCAAATTGGTAGATTAGGATACTCCAATTCCTCATTCCAAATTTCTTGAAAATTACTGATATTTCTCTGTAAAATTCTTCAATTGTTGGTAAAACTGAAAAGTTGGTTTAGCCTTGGGGGGTGGGGGAGGATTATCTAATGTACAGTGGTACCTCTACTTACGAACTTAATCCGTTCCGTGACTCTGATCGCAAGTCGAGCTAATGTACAGTGGTACCTCTACTTACGAACTTAATCCGTTCCGTGACTCTGATCGCAAGTCGAGCTAATGTACAGTGGTACCTCTACTTACGAACTTAATCCGTTCCGTGACTCTGATCGCAAGTCGAGTTGGTCGCAAGTCGAAGTAAATTTTCCCATAAGGTTCAATGTAATTACCATTAATCCGTTCCGGCGTCCGGAGACAATGCATCAGGGGCGGAAAAACGGCCGCTGACCACATGGAGGGCAGAAAAAATGGCCACGGACCACGTGGAACGGGCGGAAAATGGCCGCGGACCATGTGGAACGGGCAGAAAAATGGCCGCGGACCACATGGAACAGGCGGAAAAATGGCCACGGACCACGTGGCATGGGCAGAAAATGGCCGCGGACCACGTGGAATGGGCAGGAAAATGGCCGTGGACCACGTGGCACAGGTGGAAAATGGCTCGTAAGTCAAGGCGAGTTTGTAAGTAGAAGTAAATTTTTGGGGCCGGAGCTGATCGTATCTTGAAAATTTCGTAAGCAGGGGCGTTCGTAAGTAGAGGTACCACTGTAATTAAAATCATAGGAGTTTCCAAGGCCACCAATGTGTCAGGACGAAATGTGAATATAAGATATGTTTTAATTTACTGTCATCAAGCAGTTTTAGGCAGGCTATGTTCCTTTTGTAATCTCTCAAAAATGTCAAAGGCACAAAGAACAAAAAGTTGATCTACGGGGTTAACCCTATTTTCAGCCCAAATTTTAACTGCCATTTTAAAATAGGAATTATTCCTAAGAGAAACAAGAAACTTCTCAAGAGAACAAGAAACCAGCTTCAGTTTCTTTCCTAGCAAGTATGTCTAGTGGTCTTCAATACTGTGAATACAACTAAATCCTGACTATAATTAGAAAAAAGTACTTGCCGGGATTTCTGTCTAAGTTGTTTCCACAGTGGTATATATTTAATCTAATTTTCTGTCCAAAACCCAGAACAGAACAAAACAAAACAGAAATCAATATGTATAGCCAGTGGCATAGCTGGAAGTCTGAAAATTAAACTCCCCACATTCATATGGGAGTCACTGGAGACAGAGAAAGAGAACGGATCTTGGAATCTGACTGTTCCATAAAATGTTAACATTTACTTGTCCGTTTGTTTAAAGTATATTAGTGAAATTAACATAGACACTCCTCTTTAAATATATACTAATTGTGAAATTATATTCATTTTCACATGTATTATTTTGTGTAAACTCATGGGTATTTTCAGTCTTCTATTATTATCATTCTTTTTCTGTGCTATACAATTTAAAAGAGAGCCAGTTTGATGTAGTGGCTAAGGTACCAGACTAGAAACAGGGAGACCCGGAGTTCTAGTCCCGCCTTAGGCATGAAGCCAGCTGGGTGATCCTGGGCCAGTCCCTCTCTCTCAGCCCTGGGAAGCAGGCAAGGGAAAACCATTTCCGATAAACCTTGCCAAGAAAACTGCAAGTTCTTGTCCAGGATAGTTACCAGGAGTCAAGACTGACTCAAAGGCAATAAATAAATAAATAAATAAATAAATAAATAAATATTAAAGTACTCTCTTCTATTAGCAAAGATATGTCTATGAATAAGAAAATCTAAACAATAAACAAAACTCTATTTACAAATTTCCATAGAAACTTTACTACCGATTAGCAATATATTCTATTTTTTTATATTATATATCCAGAAAATTGATCATATTTTGTATAACTTCCACAAAATTAAGAGCTTTAATAATCATTAATAAGGCCCCAAATATTATTTGCATACAAAAACAATTTTTGGTCAGCTGCAGCCACCTGTATAGCATGATCAGTACTAGACTAAGATAACATGACAAAGGCTCCAGAGCCAAGTTAAAGGCAGGTTCCACAATACATCTTAAGTAGTGTGGAAATAATCCTATTTCTAATAACTTGAGCAGAAGGGCTAAAGTAATACATTTTGATTCAAGAAATAAAAATTAAAGGCAATTTCAACTTTCTGAAACTGAATTGATAAATTTCCATCGGTAATCTAATGCTATTAGAAATCTGAAGTCTTTTCATGAAATCAGATTGTGCAGGATAAATGGTAGCAGTTTGTGCAATCTACATGGTAAAGTTGCAGTCAGCATACTTGCATCTACTTTTAACAATATCAGGATAATAACTCACACAATTTGTAGGGACCTTTCCTGGTTTCAGAATAACTGTGATATTGACCCCATAATGAGATAAGGGAAGTACTCTCTTTCAATAGACTTATTACATAACTTTAACAATATATTTATATTTTTACACTATTTTATAGGAAATCCATCTGGCCCAGAAACTTCATAGATTCCATACAACCAGATGTATCTAATATTTCCAGCAACATTAAAGGTACATTGAATCCTTCAAATGAGCTTGAGAAAAATCTTTGGAAGGTTAATTCTATTTTTAAAACTTTCAGTCTGCTCATCTGCTAGCTCCAGATAAAACAACACAGGTAGTCCTCACTTAACAACCATTCATTCAGCGACTATTTGGAATTACAACGGCACTGAAAAAATGGACATATGACCTGTGCCCAAAATTACAACCACTGCAGGGCCCCCCCAGTCACCTGATCAAAATTCAAATGCTTGGCAGCCCGTCCGCACTTATGACCACAGGGGTGCTTCAACTCCCCCAACTCGCCTACCTCCTCCCATCTCTGCCCTCCTGGCCCCCTGCCGCTCTGTACTCCATCGCTCCAGCTGACCTTCGTTGCTGTCTTCTTCTCCCACTGCTGATGAGGCATGCCCGGCCTAGCTGCTGGGCCCTATGGGGCTGGCTTTGGGCTGTGAAGAAGGGGAAAAGAGCCAAAAGCAGCCTTTTTTCTCCCTCTTTGCAGTGCAAACGCAGCCCCGCCCCTTCCCAGGATCTCCAGAGGGCTTTGTGCTGTGAAGGGGAAAAGAGCCGAAAGAAGCCTTTTCCCCCCTTCTTCACAGTGCTCCCCCTCGTCCCTGGGGGCTGGCTGAAAAAGCCAGAGTCGAGAGGGAGTCCTTTCAGCAGGCGGCAGCGACTTGCGATCTTCCTGCCAGCTTCCCCAATGACTGTCTGGGGAAGCTGGCAGAGAAGACTGAAAATGGCACTCACATGATCACAGGGCGCTTCACAATTGCAAGCCACTACTGCCTGCCGAGAGGGCGCCCTCTCATTTCTGAGGGCTGGCTGAAAAAGCTCTGTGCTGAAATCCAAGCAGATTTTCAGCCCCGGAGTGGAGAGGCTTCAGAAGTTCTGAGGCCCTTGCACACCTGACCCACATTGCACCCCCACATACCCTCCCACGCACCCCCTCACTCCCTCCCCCATCCAGCAGCACCTGGGGCTTACAACTTCCTGCCAGCTTCCCCACTGATTTGATTGCCTTGCCTAACAACTGGGACTGCTAGGATTGTGGTCACTAAGTGGAGTGGTCATGTGATAATTTGCTTAATGACCACATCACTTAGTGACCTAAATTCTGGTCCCAATTGTGGTTGTTAAGCAAGGACCACCTGAAAAAGATAAGCACAAAAATTTCCAGGCAGAGGGTGTGATTTCTACGTACTATCGGACAAAGACTCAGAAATGTCTTCTCAAGTTGCCCAGTGGAAACATGTCTCTCCTCCCTCTCTCTCTTTACAACTCAAATTGGCAGCATTCCAGGGCTTTAGTCTCCAACACCTATATGCTGGGTTTGGCCAATCAAAATGCTTCCTCCATTTGCCCCGCAACCCTCTTGGCAAGCAGCCAATGCAGCTCATTTGCCTTGCACCTCAAGGCCATACCTGATCCTGTCATATCCCACACTTCCTTGCCAGGTTCATTACTTAACCCAAAGAACAGCTTTTGTGGTCTTGTTCCAATAAAAATAACAAACAAACAAACAAACAAACAAAAAATAAATAGTTGTTCCAATTAAGACATCACCATGATATGAATTTTAGGATACTGATGAACAATGTAACATTACACTGAGCATTTTGAAAGAAATATGAGTTAACAGCATTTGCTAACAGTATAAAACTGAAAGTAGGTATTTTATTTACCTTTTATTACATAATTAATGTACATATATTATGTAGGTACTGTATTTTATTTACCTTTTATTACATAATTAATGTACATATATTAAATCCGTATGCCCAAAAAAATCCATTTATAGATATGATCAGCATAGATTAAAGCAAGAAAATAAGGAAAATTAACCTCTAACCTGATTTTACCAGATCATTGAGGATTTCCTCTTGAAGCAGTTGATTAAGAGCAAGCTGGGGAAGATATCCACAAACGCAGAATGAATATATAGCTCTTAGTAAATCTGTATCAGCAGCCTCATGTAGATGATTATTCAAGATAGTATTCAGAGTGTCAAGAAACCTTTAAAAATAAGGAATATAAACAAATATATAAATTCCTAATAGGATACAATATAAATTTACAGATACATGGAACTTATATATCCACTCACAACTATATACTTACGAGATAAATTAGGAAAATTTCTACATATTGCTATTTTGTAAACCTCCTTCCACAATCAAAAACAAAAAGCATAGCCCTTCCATCAAATTCACTGACTTGATCTGTTTGGTACCAGTATCTCTTCTAGGATTGATTACATTTCAAGTTAAGAATATTATACTAGCTTTTTAAGTTATTGTGATAATACCTCAATTTTTACTATTATTTATCAAAGTTAAGAAATGTAATTTACTGCACTTGACTATAATTTGTTTCTATCCTGGTAGTCAGGTTATCAAGCAAACTACAACAGCATCAGCACTGTCCATGATTTATGAAAATCTTGTGTCAGCTGTTGGGACGCAACTATTTAACATCAGCATTCGTATAACATCATTGTCTATGTCTTGTCATTTTGGCATCACTGTGATCTGCTGCAGATACTGCTTTAAGATAGACTTGGTTCTGTCAATTCCTTTTTTTTTTTTAATTTACTAATTAAAGGCACTGGCTCACCAGCCTGGTTTAGACGTACATTTTTGCAAAATGTGCTCGCTTGGACAATTATGTCAGCACTACAGGAAAAAGGCCATTAAAATATACTTTGTAAGTCAAAGATTTATGAAGTAGTTCACCAACATTCCCAGCAATGTACAACTGGTCCATGAAAAAAAAAATCTGAGGACCACAGGCTAAGCCAGTGTTTCTCAAAGTGGGGATCTCAAGACAATGGATGGCAAGTAAGTGCCTTCCTGCCGGAGGCTTTCCTTTCTTTATCACGTTGATGCAGTGATGCAAATGTACTTGGCATGTTCAAGCAGCCTGCATGAAGCCAGAGTGATGACCGTTTTTTAAAAATTCACTACATTTAATTTTCAAAGGAGGAACAGACAATTTGACCCAACTCTTATTCTGCAGGGAGAACTTCCACAGAGGGGAAGGGATTTACAGGCCACAAGCACAAGGCTGGAACTGAAAGAAGACCAGGCTGTGCGGAGACAGGGAGAAAGAGGGCCAAAAGCCACTTACAGTCTGCCGATGCCTTGTGACCGGCAGCGGCAGCAGCAATTTAACAACAGTATTTGTTGCCCAGAGCAGCCCAGGCAAGGAAGGAGCCTTTTCCACTTTCTCCCTTGACCTTGATGAATGAGACAGGCTATCCCGAAAGGGAAACCCAGATTCAGGAATTATGCAGGGCATAATTCTTCCCATTAAAAATATGGTTTCTATTACTAGTACCACACCCAAGGAGTGGGCTTTAAGGCTTTTTATGATATTGGATTTTGCCCGATTCATTACAATGACAGACTTTTTTGACCAGATAGAAACTCCTATTGTTTATTCTGATTGATGATTCTTATTATATCGGCTGCCTCTGTTGGTTACTGAACATGGATTTGATTTGGCTTTAAAATGCTCTATACCCTGGCCCCTGGTGTGAAGGGGTGGTGGACCAAAACAGAGCTCCAAAACGTCCCTAAGAGATGTTTTGGAGTTTTAACTAACTGTTGATTTTCTCTGGACTCTCTTTTAATGATATATTCTGTGAGCTTTATTGTTGTATTTTGTAAGCTACCCAGAGTTGTAACACATTGGGGCAGCTGGAAGGAAGGAAGGAAGGAAGGAAGGAAGGAAGGAAGGAAGGAAGGAAGGAAGGAAGGAAGGTAGGTCATCTTTACATGCACCACAAATCTAATATTACTACAAAAATTCTTATTCAATTTTACACAGTCTATAAATCTCTTTTCTATTTCTTTTCTCTTCTGCTCTTTTATTTCTTTTTTGCTCTTTTGTCTTGGTTCCCCTTTCAAATATTTGTTAAAATCAAACAAACAAACAAAAAAATGGTTTCTTTTCTTTTCTAACTCAAGGAGGTAGGTGTGATCACATAAATCCACCATTTACTGGGTTGCAGTAATCCAAAATTTGAGAACCCATAGGTTAAGCCCAGGTTGTAACACCTATCGCCATTAAAGAATTCTATATATTAATTTGATGGCAAATTTGAGATTATTCACAAATGACCAGAAATGTTTCAATAATTATTTCTGAAATGAGTATTTCCTAAAGAATAACCTACTCCCGGTTTTGGCCACTGGGGAAGTGATTGAGATTAGAATATGCTCGCAGAATAATTATAACCTCCTTCAGGTTCAAGGATTCAGGGTGAAGCATCATTTCCTCAAGAAATTTATCCATCAGTTTGACTGGATGAACACCAAGATTTTCAAAGGCTGAAAGTAACAGAATTACCTGAAATCAAAAGGAGAAGTTAAAATAACACACATGCATTTTAAATGTACTATTGAGATAACTTTATTAAGAGGGTTTTTTAAAAAACAGACAAAAAGTTTATTAAGCCTGAGAATATACAACTGAAAAGAGCAGCTTTTTTTTTTTTTGCATGTTTTTGCTTTCCTGCATCTCTATTCCCCAATCCTTCTTCTATTCTAAGCTTCTCAGGCAAATTTCTCCTCCCTTGTTCTTTGTGAAATAGTATGGAACTAATCTGCCACAATAAGTTTAAACCAAAGTTGCTCAGCCTGGTTGCGTTCCCCAAATCCCAACTGTTAACCTCTCAAAGCCTTTCGAAATTGTAATTTTCTGTAACACAGACAGGAGTTATGATATGGATCAGAACAACCATATTGCCTATAGTTGTTAGTTCAATTTAAATTGAATTCAAGTTAAAGCAAAACTACAGTATTCATCTGAGAAAAATACCCCTGCAGAATGTGAAAGAACAACAGCACCTGTAGTTCGTTGCTCAGAGCGTGCCAATCCACCGTCCCTCCCTCCCTTCCACCTTTTCTTTTTCACTTGACGTCCAGATTCAAAGACTTGTAACATGGGAGAGAATTGTTCTGGGTTGCAGCACTCAGATTAAAAGTCCAGATTTCTCTTCTACTAGGTTTTTAAGTACTTGATAAATGTTATTTCAACAAATCATATATTGGGTGACTGACATATTTATTTCTATTTGATTATATTTTGCTGGTTTTATCACTACTGGAGGGGCTGAAATTTTGTATGGATTTATTCTTACACTGTCACTGTATTTTATAATCATTCTGGAGTTCTTTTCTAGATTGGATGGCAAAGTATCATTGTTTCTCTAAACAAATGAAAGAATTAAACCTGCCCCAGATCAGTAGACCACAAAAATATCATATTGCAGTGAACACTGTTAGTTTAAATTTAGTCATCCAGTTCAAAAAACCTATTATACTTTAATTTTTATTTACCTCTTTCCCATCTTTATTTTCACTTTACTGATAATTTCTTCAGCTAAACCAATCTCTACATTTCTACACTTCTTATAGCTTAATATCATTTGTCAAGTAGATTAAAAGAACATCTGTTATTCAAATTAGTCATAATCCAGCATACATGTGTGAAAATATAGAGACAAACAGATTAAGTTATTTCAGTACACAGGCTGGAATATTGTCTGCAGTGCAATACCCTTCCCCACTCCTATTTGCAGTTAGAGGAACTATCCCAAATAATATTATAAATCTAAAATAAAATTAAAAACAATATTAACATTCCATGCTAGTATTCATTTACTGAGAATGCCAGTAATATGAAGAGTGACATTCTACAAGTTTACCTCACGTCTGTTCCATGTATAGAAGACTGATGTGACATAATCTGCTAATGCAGAATAGAGTATCCTATTTTGGTATCTCAATTGTCTGCTCATTTTCAAAATGTTCAGTAGCTTCGAAAATGGAGTTCCTTCAATGTTTTCTAATGCATGCAAAGAAAACTAACATTGGAAAATGTACTGGGTTGAAAACATTTGTCAAATGTAACATAAGTAAACACATTTGCACTTTTAGTTCATAAAAAAAAAAATGACATGATAAATCCTGAAGCAGAAAATACAATATAACTGGCAAAAGTAAAGAACTGTTCAGGGAACAAGCAGCGATCTAGTGGAGGTTCTCTCTTTTGAGGAATGTATTAACATGCCATATAACTTTTTGAACCTTCTTCATATCTACCACGTGTCCACTGCCTATTGTTCAATAAAATCAGAAGACCCTTTGTGCTGCTTTAGAGGAGCCTAACACTTATCTTTCTGAGCCAATTTTCTTAAATATTTATAACTTCCACTACAAATGTGCAAGTCTAGTTTTATAGACTATAAGGTATGTGCAAATTTTCAGATAATAGTTTCCTTTAACCATCTATCATCCCTATTTTTCTTCTGTTACTGGGTTCTTGGTGTTCACTGAGCTTGATTGTTTTCTTGCAAACATTTCATTACATGATTAGCTCACAGAAGACTGGAGCATATCGCTATGCTAGGAAATTCCTGAAAGCTTGGCATTCTGACAAATCAGCCATCAATAGACACATTGAGATAAACCCCATCTACATACCATTTAAAAAAAGATATGACAAAGTCAAGGAAGGAAACAAGCAGCCCAGACCACATCTTCCCTAGCAGCCATCACCCAGATAAGCAGGAAACAGCCAATATCCAGGCAAGCAGGAAATGGCGCCAGATCAAGGAACTGTCAAGAAAGAAACCACACCCAAACCAAGTCAAGGCAAGCTATACAGAAACAGCCAGCAAACTCCACTCTCCCTCATACTGATGATGTTACCTAGCCTGGAAATGAAACATCTGCAGAAAAACAATCAAGCTTAGAGTTCACCAAGAACCCAACAGTTCAACCCCAAGCCACACATACTCTCTACTATTTTCTTCTTTTGCTATTCATCAGCAAGTATGTTTACATAAACTACTACGGCAAATTAAAAGAAACTGGCTTCAAGAACATAACAATCAAGTAAACTGATCTGAACAGTAACGATTTCATACATTTGTCAGGACTTACCTATTATTGTCTTACTACAAGCATTCAGGACTGGAACAGAGAGATAATCCATTTCACCCAGTACACTGAACATTTGAAAAGCATGTAGAACTGTAAATTCACCCATCAGACTCAACAACTTGTTCTAAATTGAAATAAAATTGGAATTAGCCAGAAATATCTTTGGCCAACATGAGAAGAATTATAAAATTATTGTTTGTTATCACAGAGAGGTAAGAAATATTTTTCTCTTACTTTTACTTTGAAGATTTCCGGTTTTGAGGAAGTACCCAACTAGTTCAATATTTTTCTGTTTAGGATTAGCCATTTACATCTGAATATTTATCGTTGATTTCTCACTTTCTATATAGTTATAGTGTCTTCATAGTTATGTTAGTTTTTTACCTTGGTTGTCTTTATAACTTATCTATCTATCTATCTATCTATCTATCTATCTATCTATCTATCTATCTATCTATCAAATTTATATCACTGCCCAACTCCCCCACAAGGAGGGACTCTGGGCGGTTCACAACAAAACAATTTAAAACCAGTAAAAACATAAATAATAAAAATATAAAATACAATTATTAAAATACAACTATTAAATACAATAAAATCCAAGAGATGGTGATATTATTTCAGCCTGTGACCAGATAATATCGGTCAAAGGGAACCAGCCAACCCCAAAACTGACTATTCCCATCCCCACCCCAATGCGTGATGATAAAACCAGGTCTTCCGTTTTTTTCTGAAGCCTAAAAGGGAGGGGGCCAGCCTCACTTCTGGGGGAAGAGTGTTCCAAAGGGCAGGGGCTCCTGCCAAGAAGGCTCATCTCCTGGACCCCGTCAGATGAAATCCTCTTGCAGACGGGGTCCATAGCATGCCTTCTCTGCATGACCGGGTGGGACAGGTTGATGTGATGGGTTTATGCTGTTATTAGGATATTTATTTGTATGTTTCTATATACTGTTAGCCACCTAGAGTTGCTATGGTGAGATGGGCAGCCATAGAAATCAAATGAATGAAAATGTTTCTTCCATCACAGTTCTTGAAAAAAGGAACACAGAAATAATGCGTTCATTTCTGTTGCACTACAACTGTAAGAATTACAGGCAGTCCCCAGGTTAAAAATGTCCGACTTATGGACAACTCGTACTTATGAACGGACTACCATAAAGCCTATTATATTAAATATATAAATATAAAATATAAATATAAAAACACACGCACTACTTTGAAAACATTGCCTGGCTTCTGTGGTTTGTCAGCTCAAGGAACGAGAATGCCATCCAACATTTTAAGTAGGATCATGTGGCTAAATGATCCTGATCATTGATCAGGATACTAAATATATGTTCTGACTTACCTACAAATTTGACTTAAAGATAGACTTAGGAACAGATCTCGTTCGTAACCAGGGACTGCCTATAATATGTAATATTTATTTATCTTATTTAGAGTCCACTCTACTTCAAACAAGTCTGGGTAAAAAAGTAAGGAACTATAAAATAGAAAAACAGATCATGTACATCCAGAAGAAAACCCATCCATATTAGGTAAAACAAGAAAACTGTAGGACTCAACAACCACCCTATTTCAAGGGCTGAGAGAATAGCCAAGTGTTCAAAGACTTCTGGAACATTATCTGGGTGGGAGTCATTACAGATTTCGTGGGGGGAGGGAATGCTATCGGGGGGAAACACTGTTGGGGGAGGAATGCAGAGGGTAGATGCTGCAACAGAGAAGACACACTTCCTAGGTCCTGATAGATATTTGACCAAGGAGACCTGGAGCACATCCACCCTACCTGATCTTACTGGACAGGCAGAAATGATCAGAGATAGGTGGTCCCTCAGATAATCAGGCCCTTGACTATATTTCGTGATTCTTGACACTCACAGCTCTTAAAATAAATCATTTTTTCCCTCCATGATGACAAAAGTAATGGTACCTGTGTGTACATTTTGCAATCTTAATCTAATAATTGAATACACAGATGAAAGAACAGTATCAATTTTTTACCTCCAAACTTCTTTTAAGTGTCAGTGGTACATCCTTCCCGATACTGCGCATTATGGTTTGCAATATAAACACATTTGATATTTTGTGGACTTTCTCTTCTAAAAGTAACCTATTAAGAAAAGAAACTCAGAATATGTAATGGACATAAACTTATGGAGAGTTACCATTATACACACACACACACACACACACACACACACTTTGACACTAATACATCTTCCACTTGAAACAGAATACATTTTAAACATTAAGAAGATTAAAAATACAGCTAATTTTGCAGACTTATTACAGACAATGGTGGATTGGGAATGTCCAGGGCATCTAAGCTTGCCTGTCACATGAAAAATTTCACTTGGGTAAATTGCCATAGTGTCATGTATTTCATTCAGTTACAACTTCTGGGTCATATGCCTAGTTTAAACAAGCATTAGTTCATTTCTTCATTCCATGAAGGTTCTACTGAGTTAGATATAGGTCTACATAGTGTTCTGGGGAAAGTATCTACTGTTTTCACATTTTTAAAATATTTTTGTCACTGAACATTATAAAATAAACTTCTGGGTCATATGCCTAGTTTAAACAAGCATGAGTTCATTTCTTCATTCCATGAAGGTTCTACTGAGTTAGATATAGGTCTACATAGCGTTCTGGGGAAAGTATCTACTGTTTTCACATTTTTAAAATATTTTTGTCATTGAACATTATAAAATAAATGAAACAAACATCCAACTTTGCTGTTATTTTTCAGTCAGACTGTACTCTGTCCCACATGAATCTCTGATAATAATTTAATTGCAAAGATATGCAAACATTTAGGTAATCTGAACAGTAGTAAGTACTTTTTCACAAAATTGTATATACTCTATATATTTCTCAAATCCCTGAATCTTTTTTTATTGAGCCTCTGAAATTATATAGGTCCAGGAAAATCCAAAAACTGTTTTAAATCTAACTTAAATCACTGAAATGATTTTAATCACTGGAATGATTTCGCAACCCTCTCCTGTTTCCTTAATTCTTCCCAAGTCAGAAGCTATGTTTGAAACCTGAAACTTTTTCGTTAAGCATACTCGAGCAAAAAAAGGAGAACATGGGATGGAAAATAACAAATTTATTTTATTTTATTTCTATATTGATCTTCCTCTCAGAGGAACCCACAGCACTTTATATGATAATTTTAAAAAGTCAGTAAAATCAACAATGTTGAAAAACAATAAATTCCAAAATTAAAACAAACTTCATTCTTAAAAAAACAGAAAAATAAAATAATAGGTATTTTAAAGGTCTGGAATACAGGTAATCCCCAGTGTAAGAATGAGTTTCATTCCCAAGGTCTGTCCTTAAGTCAAATTTGTATGTAAGCCGGAACAGTATTATTATATAATACTGTATAAGTAGTATTGTGTAATGAACTCGAACCATTGTGCATTTAACTTGAATCATTGTATATTTAACTTGAATTTTGCTACAATAGGCTCTGTTCTTAACTATGGGTCATCTGTAACCCGGGTATTCTTAATAGGCAGGTCTCTATTTTATGAAGACACCAGGCGGAGCAGCTGTCATTGAGAAGGACTTACTGCTTACCAATGAACTAAACCAAATCCGGGGCTGGGACCACAAGCAAGCCCTTGCAGCTGGATGGTATTAGGGAGATAAGACTGTCTTTTGACCTGTGCTTGGTTAAACTCATGGAAAGATTTACACCACCTGTGTTCTAACCATATACTAGTTAGCCGCATCACCTAGAACTGCTTGATAAATCAAAGGGCTTTCCAGGATTCTCATAACTGACAGCTGCATTCCAAATAGTATCAACAGCCCTTCTCATTTCACTCTTCCAGACTAAAACTAAGGTGTCAAGAATACTACCAACCACTGTGGACAAAAAATCCTCTACAACATTTAGAAATTCCTTAGATTCTATTAGCTACCAAGGGCAGATCATGTTAATTGGTCCTCCATCCTGTCAAGAGAATTGAAACATATTCAGCTCACCTAAAACCCATCAGTTATGAATTCACTACTAATCTGTCTTATCCTGAAACCAGATCATAAATATGTCCTAAAATAAATGCTGGATCTGTAATAATTATTGTGAGATAGCCTCAAGTTACTTTGGTCTCACATATTTCACTCCTGGGCAAGGTGATTCTCTGAGTAGATTCTGCCTGCCTAGTAAGACCCAGAAGGAAAGGAATACATCATCAGATTCCCCATGCACAAGCCTTCACTGTAGCAGTCACCCACATCTGGAACAGGCTACCCCAAGATATAAGGTTGACTCCATCTTTCTTACAATTCCAAAAATCAATTAAGACCTGGTTTTTCTAGACAGCATGTCAGGATAGGTGATATTGAATGGAACTGACTGAACAGTCCCACTGACTGAGTTGTTTAATGATAGACATGATGGATGAGGATGATGTATTATTGTGTCATGTAGTTAGATATTAATTTAATTGTACTTTAATGGAATGAGGAATATAAGTTGCTCAGAGTAGGTTTCGATTGGAATGGCATAGAAAACTTAGTAAATAAGTAGGTAAGTAAGTAAATAAATGTGATGGCCTCACAGCTCCAGGCCCAATTAGTCTGAATGAAACTAATTTTCTGGATCCATTTCAATCAGATGAAAAGAAAAGAAAAAGAGCTGAACCTAGATAAAATGAAGGCACTAAGGATAGATAAATCTAAGGCCAAGGAATTAGGAACAGGTGCATAGTTTGGTGGTTTTCCTTTATTTCTATCTGTCATAAGAGGCACAGTAGGCTCAGTGAAAAATCTGTAAAGTCCAAAACTCATATTCTCTCTCTCTCTCTCTCATCTATTTATTGGATTTGTTAAATCTGCCTCACTCACTCACTCACTCACTCACTGATTGATTGACTGAATTTGTTAAAGCTGCCCAATTCCAGAAAGACCCTGGGCAGCTTACAATATCAGTACATAAGTTAAAAACACAACTAAAAACCATATGACTGTGCAGACTAAAAGGCAGCCATAATGATAATAAATAAATAAAACAGGGGCTCCACACCCCAGTAACCCTAAGCCTGAGAACTGAGCCAGTCTTAAAGAGACTTCCAGAACCCTAGGAAAAGTGGGAGTCATGTGCATTTCTGGGGGGGATTCTATTCCAGAGGGCAGGGGCTGCAACAGAGAAGGCATGCTTCCTTAGTCCCACAGAATGAAATTGTTTAATTGAGGGGACTTAGAGTGCATCACTCTGCTTGAACTCATTGGAACAAGGAAAAAGATGGAAACTGGAACTGAGTTAAGGGTTGCTCTGGATATGATTGTATTCCCCTAGCAAGGTGCTGCTTGAGAGTGCTGCTTGACCTCCAGATGTCACAAGGGTTTAAAAGTGCCAGCTGTGGTGAGAAATGCATTTGCAGTAATTACAGCCAGTACTTCAAATGTAACCCTTCCAGAGCCAACTGGACTTAGCAACTGTTACCCGTGCCATGGTTACAACCTACTTAACTACTGCAATCCAGTGTACATAGGGCTACCCTCAAAAACTGTCCAGAATTTGCAACTGGCATAAAATGCAGGGGCCAGGTCGCTAACTGTTGCATGGATCATATAATGCCTCTACTGAAAGAATTGCACTGGCTAACAGTTGCTTTTCTGACCTAATTCAAACTGTTTGGCATTGACCTTTAAAGTCCTTAATGCCTTAGTGCAGAACTAAGTGTGGGACAACTTTCCTACTATGAACATGCCCTCCTATTTTGATCAATAGAAAAAGTCCCTTAAGATCCCCTCTTAATAGAAGTTGGCCATCCAGTATATCAGGAAAGGCCTTCTTTTGCATGGGTCTCAGGCTGTGGAATGGACACCCTAAGGAGATGTGTTTGGCCTCCACTCAGTCAATACTTAGGAAGATTAAAAACACAGCTTTTCCACCAAGCTTTTAATTATTGATTCATTTTCATGATAATTTCAATTCTGATTTTAATTGTATGCTATTTTAATTTATATATATAGTGGCAGGGTATAAGATGCAGGCAGGAACAGCATACACTGAACGACACAACCAAGTAGCTGGTATTGTGTACAGGAACATCTACACAGTGTATGGGCTAGGACCCCCCAAGTCCAGATGAGAGATTCCACAGAATGTCGTGGAGAATAACAGGGCTAAGATCCTGTGGGACTTCCAGATCCAGAAGGAAGACAAGTACTGGCCAATCAGCCAGACATCAATGGTAGTAGACAGGGACCAGAAGACAGCAGTAGTGATAGAGGTAGCGGTGCCAAATGACAACAACATCCGGAAAAAGGAGCATGAGAAGCTGGAAAAGTACCAGGGCCTGAAAGAGATACTAGACAGGATGTGGAAAGTAAAGGCCAAAGTGATCCCAGTGGTGGCAGGAGCATTTGGGCTGTGACTCCTAAGCTGGGAGAATGACTCCAACAGATCCCAGGAACAACATCAGAGCTTTCTGTCCAGAAGAGTGCAGTGCTGGGAACAGCTAAGATACTGCGCAGAAGTAGAGGTCCCAAGATTGAAGAAGACACATACCACCCATAGGGGTGAGAGGAGATTTTTTTATATTCTCTAGGGTGCCTTGATTATTGAAAAAAATTAAAAGCGAGAGAAACAAATGTCCACAAGCAAATGCAAATGGACAGCCTGGGTATGGACACTAACGATTCCCAGGAGGACTGTCCTGGGATTGTCTAAGACTATACCAGAGATTAATATAATTAATATAAACTGGAAGGTGTCCTGTAAAATTTTTCATTTATATCTTATTCTAAATCATGGTATGTTGAATTCAGTCTAGGAAAGTAAGAGACTGACCTTACATATATTTATTTGTCAGTAATTCCCAATGAGCTCAGTGAGGCTTGCTTCTAAATAAATGCATACATGTGCTGTATATTCCATTTTATATCCTGACGCAATTTTAAACAAACATTTCTAGTATTCAACCTCTTTAATTTTCAAGTATCTTCCTGGGTATTTAATCAACTTAAATTCACAGTGCTAAAATCTCATTCTTTTTACTTATGGCTTCATTTGGATGCATCCCTAAATTCCAGCTAGTATGCTACCTCTGCCAGCAGTTCCCTTTCCTCTTGCACCATCACAAGGAGGAGAAAAAAGCTCCCGCTTCCAATGAAAATCTAATGAGTGCTTCATCTGAATCCTAAACTATGATTAGTCTTAATTATAGTTTACTAAAGAAACCTATATTTTGAACTGGAATTAAGTAAGCTCAAAACATTTGGGTTCAGATATACATAAATAAGCTACAGCTATTTAACTGGGAAGAAACTTGTCCCACAAGTGTGTCCAATAACTGAAGAGTACCATTTTACAAACTTAACACTTATAAGAAATCTAGGTCTTCTCTTTTCTTACTGTAGTCCAAATTGAAGAGCTTCCACATTCTTGCATTTTTCCATGTCTTTCAAAGTCTTTGCAATAACTGAGATACATCGATCATTAAATTCATTGAGACGTTCCTATTCAAAAGATTCAAAAGTCATTTTAGCAGATTTTCATGAAAAGATAGTCACAGGCCAGATAGAGGAAAAATTAACAAGCAAATCCCTACTGCTATGGGGAAAGAGACACAATGCACAGTACCACATTTTATTAAGGCTGTATTAATTGTACAGTGAGTTTTCTCATTCTCTCAGCTTCTCTAAAGTTAGAGAAAGAACAAGCGTTCTACTGCACAGCCCTACTCAACACAGAGTTTCATGCTGTATGGAGGTTGTACAAAGGGGCTTCCATTTCTTTTCTAGCTTTAAACCAAAGAGAGCTGGGAGAGGAATCAGCATTTACGCTGCACTATAGAAATGCCGCACAAGGAAAGGGATAATGTCAAAGAGCTGATAAAAGTGATGGTTCAACTTTGCTGCTCATTCCCGCTAAACATTCCAACCTCGGTACACTGTTGAAGACAGTGATGGATACATTTCTGGAACTCCATTCCTTTTCTTTCTGGCCCTTCCAACCCAAATGAAACCATTACCCACTACAAATAACAAGGACCTAAAGCAATAAATGAGCATCAAGAACCTAAGAGGGAGGGTTGGAACCATAGTCACACAGTAGACCAACTTAAATGACTTTGATAATGGTTCACTTACAGTAAATCCTATTAACTTCAGTGAGACTATTCTAAAACAACGAGATGACCCCATAGTTTTTTCTTTTCTCTCTTTGTCTCAAAAATTAGAACATTAAACCACACACCCAAATATAGTTGTTTCTGGAAAGTGAGCCAAGCACAGGACTAATTAATATTAGTCATAATAGTTATAAAGTAGCAACTGTCCACTTGTGAATCAGATACAGAAGTAATATACAGCCTGTCCAGGAAATTTAACCCCAATGCTTAATATATTGCAATAGGGTAAGCCAATTTTTGTTAAGGTCCACATTCCCTCAGTGATCATCTGTTTAGGGTCTCACTGTAGGCAGGCTGAAACTAGTAGGTGGTAAAGGCCAGAGTCAAATAAGGAGTAGTCCTTTCTTCTCTCTTTCTCTCTCTCCCTCTCTCTCTCTCACACACACACACACACACATATAAGCAGGTTGCAGGAATAGGGCAGAAAGTTCTTTCCAATCTAAACCAATCTCTTGCATAGAAACTGGGCCAAAGGAGGTATGTTATCCTGAATTAACAAGTTGCCCACTCCTGTGCTACAGGTAGTTCAAACATGTTACCTTATCACCCATGCTTGCATGTCCCAGCTAACCAAATCAGCTGCTCTTCCATAGTAAAACTTCTCCTGGGCACACGCAATGCGTGACTGCTAGTGTCCAAGTCAAAGGGCTCTGCCACTTTTGTTGCCTCCCAGCTGCTACTAAGGAGTCAAAACAAAAGGAAGCTCCCTTCACCCCTTTCATACCCTCTTATCTACCCACCTATGTGGCCCTCTTGTTCTCGGACTGCACTAGAACTCTGTCTCCATTCTGCAACCTCTGCATCACTTTTGTCATCCCTGTTCAGATGGCAAGCTGACTCCCACTTCTTCCCTTCACATTGATTGGTTTTAGCTGCTCACATGACACAGAACTGAATCCCCCCACTTGACCAAATTAACCATGATACACAAATAGGGCAATTATAATCAGTGAGGCATGCTTGCAAAGAGTGCAAATTTACACAGCAAGGCTGAAGATCTGGACAGGTGACAGTGAATGCATAGCCAACTATACTGAAGAGGGTGTGCCCAAGTACATAATTACTAATATGTGAAAAAGACATCTGCAGCCCATACTCATTTTTTTACAGAATAAACTGGAAAGATACAAAGCTTTCTTGTTGGAGCAAGTTTTTCCTAAGCAGATACAATTCTAAAAGACTATTCCCATAATTATTAAAAATATTCAGCATAATAGTCAGTTGAGGCTTTTGCATCGATACAATGGATTTTGCTTTTGTTCATTGTTTTATCTTGATAAAACAGCTTCTAGATTTAATGTTGATTAACAGGAATACTATATACTCAGCTGTGCATTTACTTGTGCTAAGAGGTACATCCTGCTTTGGATCACATGGAGCACCTTCAATATTTGCTGCATTTTGTGCAGTTATACCCTGTACTTTATAAAGCCTTCTCTCGCAATAGGGTAAGTGGCAACAAAATACCATAACTGAAGTTAACTTTATAAGTCAAATAGCAAACAAAAAATAAAACAGGGTTGTTTATTTAAAAACAAAGCCCTGTAAAATACTAGGAATAAAACGCTGTACTGAATAAAAACTGCTGTAGTGCATTGGCTAAGAGACTCAGCCGTAATTTCTATCTCATTTTTCCTGTGAACTCTTCCACGGAACATAGAAAAGTCTCCTGCAAGTCAAGCTTGACTCCTTGTGATTTCATGGCCACATCCATGTCACTGTCTTGACAGCCAAAAGAGTTTGACATTGCCTTTTTCTGGGACCTTTTTAAAAAAACTTTCCTGTCTAGACTATGTACCTGATGGTTTCTGGTGGATTCCTGAGTACAAACCAGGTCCAATTCTGCTTAGCTGATCAAAATCAACTATGTTGACTAAGTGTTGCATCTGTACAGGTAATCTTATGCATATCAATTTGGAAATAAATCCTAAGTTCAGTGGCACTTACTTTCACATAAAGGGGTACAGACTAAAAGCCATAGATCAATAGTAGCTTTTGCAATGTGTAGATAACAAAACTGAACTGTGATAAGGGTTTTTTTGAAAGACACAAGAATATATGTGAAGTCTAGAGACATACTAAATAATCAGTTTAGCTTTTCAAACCAGCACAGCCTTTATTCTAAAACATCCCTTAAGTTTGTCTGGATTATAAATGTTGTGGGTTTTTTTGGCTTACCTGACAAGTCCTCAGTAATGTTTGAACCAACCAGGTATTTTGTGGAACTCCTAATTTTACCACAGCAAGTAGAGTGTATGCCAAATCATTGCTATCCATGTACTTTGCCTCATCAATCACACATTGGCAGAGCTGTTGAAACTGCGGGTGTTCAAACATCAGCTTTGTCTCATCATAGTTCTGACTTTTAAGTGTATTTTTTTTTAGCATCCACATAGTTGAAAAATAGTTACTGACATACTTTGAAGAGACTGGACTTCTTGCAGCAAGGTCTAGTACCTCACAGAGAGATGCACACTTTTGAAGGTCATTAAAAAATTGCTGGACCATATTAAATCCATCCTTTTCTTCAACAGTATTTCTGACTTCCTCCGAGGAGTTCACTTGAGTGAGTTTGAAGTTCTCCTCATGCCCAAGGTCATTAGCTATTTTCTGTTCATTTGCACCACTGCTCCCAACATAAACATAAGTATTTTGAGAACAAGTTGAAACAGAAGAATGAAGCCAGCAAGAAGGAACATACAGATGTTGAATATTTTGTACAGAACTTTTATACCCACTAATCCCAGATGCAGTTCTGGTTTCAGTTCTAGGAAAAGGTCTCCCTGCATTGTGACATGCCTGTAGCCATCTCATTGACCTTATAAAATAATCCAGTTTCCTATTCATCTTGCTGTCTCTATACAATGTCTTGCTTGGAAAAACTTATTTGAACCTAAAGAAAATGAGAACAGAGCTGTTTAGATCACTTAAGTGAATTTATTTACCAGTACAGTACATGGAAAATATGCAATTACAGTAATACCTCGGTTCACGAATGCTTCTGTTCACGAAGAATTCAGTTCGTGAACAGCAGCATTCACAAAATTTTGCTTCCATTTGCGAACTCCGCATCGGGTGACGAACACGACCCGCGGCCATCTTCCCTGCTTTGACACGTGGTCGTGGCTTCCTCTAGGTGAGATCGCGGTCACAGACAG